CCGAACTCCCTCGTGTGCCTTCAATCTTTCTGACTTCCTCCGCTGCTATCAGCAAGAGGAAATTCTCTGGTGTGAGTAGATTAAGCCCATGCAGATCATAACCTTCATTATACTACCTGCAAAATCTCTTTTAGCAGTAACGCCAGGTGGCGAAGGTCATGGGGGTCATTTTAGAATTCTTCTAATCACACCTGCCTTTCCTACATGAACTACATGTAAAGGCAGCCAAATAGCTACAGTTGATCTGTACAAGTAATAAATGTGGAAGGAAGAGCATAATTAGAAAACTCACCATGTTGTAACTCCCTAATAAAAGAACTGATTTAGACAAAGATCGCCAACGAGAAAGAAACAAACAGCAGATGACAGCTTAATGAGGAACTTGAGAGCCGACCACATCCGAGCCCACTTTAGAGACATGACTCCAGGATGACACCTACATGTAGTGTCCCTCCCGCTACAAAGCACACAGCACCACGTGTGAAGGACTCTTGCCAAAAAAGTCGAACCTTATTCTAATCAAGCGGTGAGATCTAACTCTCAGTTTACAGGAAACATAGGAAGTAGAAGTGTGACTTAAATGAAACCATGAAGAAGCAAACAGAAAAATCCAGAATGTGGAACATTCTATAACACAACTGGCCCAGTTTCTACAATAAGTCAATGGGGGGGGGGGGGGGATGGTAGGGTGGCAGGTGAAGGGACCTGCTCTAGATTAAAAGAGACATTATTACCAATTACAATATAAGAACAATATTTGTATCCTGATTCAAACAAACCAAGAAGAGGTTTTTAATGAGAAAAATTTGAATATAGACTATACTCAGTATTAGAATGTACAAAGAATCACCATAAATTCTCATTGGTTGGGATAAAGGTATTGAGGCTGTATAAGAAAACATACATATTTTTTAGAGATGCATATAGGACTGAGAGGTCATGATGTACTTGCTAATTGCTTTAAAATATTTCAACAACCACAAAAAGAGCAGATGGATAAAGCAAGTATAGCAACATGTTGAAAAATTCTGGATCTGGGTGATGTATAGGTATGGGGGTTCACTAGTCTAGCCCACTTTTGTGTATGGTGAAAAAATTTTATAATGAACAATTTAAGAGCTTTCACTGATTAAGCATCTGCTAAAGACCAATCACTGTGTCAAGGGCTTCGCAAACATTTCCTGCTGAATCCTCAAAACAGCCTTATGAAGTAGCTACTATTATTATCCCCACTTTTAGAGATAAGAAAAGTAATGAAATAACAACCAGTTCGGGGTGTAGCCAATGGATCTGCCAATCACCCATTATCTCAGCCCAGCTTCAGAGCTTTTTTCATTTCACAAAACATTTTTACAAACTGGCTACAGCACACGATGGAGGGCACCCCCAAACCCTGCACTAACCGTTGGCAGAGGGACATTGGTAAGGTATGAGGGGAGAGGAAAAGAGCTGATGGGCAGGGGTACAGAGGGTGCAACAGAAACAGGAGAACCACAGAAAAGCCACAAGGGGTAACACAGAGATCCAACAAGGCGGCAGGTAACACATGGAGATGGTCACAGAAAGGGGCAGATGGGACAGATGGGAGACACAAAGGGAGAAAGAACGGTGCTGAAATGGGCAGAGAGACCCGGACAGCCAAATTTACTCCTGCTATGGGCCACCTTCCACTCTTCCCCGACCCCTAATGCCAGCCAGGAAATGAGAACGCCACAGAGCAAAAGCAGGGACGAGACAGACAAGCGCTAGACACGTTAAATACACAGCTAAACATAATGATAGGCTGGTGTCGGGCGGGTTACCCTGTGCTCTGGTCCCGCCCCACCCCACCCCTGCCCCCAATCAGCAGCTGTTCTTCTCTATCAACTTCCAAGTGTAAACAGCTTCTGCTGACCAGCTCCAAGCTCACAAATCGGAAGGAAAGGGAGACGGAATTATTTAAATAATTTTTAGGGTTTTTTTTTTAACAGCTTAACTGAGATGAAAGTCACAGACCATCAGTGTCCAGTGAAGGGCTCTCAGGGAAGAATCTGTGTGGCTGAAGCTAAGGTTCAGTGGTCACATTAATACCATTAGGCACTCAGATCAAAGGCTCCCAGGGCCAGTGTCAGGTAAGGTTTCAATCCCAACAATGGAAAGGACATGTTTGGGGAGCTGCACGTTTGTTGGGGGGATGGCAGACAGGAAAGGGGCTACAGAAGGGAGAGCAGGGAGCAGAAAACACAAGAGAATCATCCATGCATTTCAGGAAGTAGAGTGAGAGCTCTCGGGGACAGCAGGTTTGTCATCATCTACCAGTAAGTCCTTGTCGCAGCGAACCACTTACACAAATTATATGTTAAAAAATACCTTCCTAGGAAACAGAGTCAATGGAATTGTAACAGCTATATACATGTCAGAGCGGCAAGAGACTGGGGGGAGGGGAGTTATCACTTTGTGAGGGATGAAATGTCTATTACATTGTTTTGTACACCTGAAATTAATAAAAAAAAAAATGCCTTCCTCTCGTAAGCAGCATTATTCACAGTCACTAAAAAGTGGAAGCAACCCACGTGTGTCCACCAACGGATAAAAAGATAAACAAAATGGGGCATGTCCATCCAATGGAATATTATCGAGAATAAAAAAGGAATGAAGTCCTGATATGTGCTGCAACATGGGTGAACCTTGAAAATACTATGCTGAGGGAAGCCAGATGCAAAAGGCCACATGCTGGGGGATTCCATGTATTCGGAGTGAATACATAGGCAAATCCGTAGAGGCAGAAATTCGATTAGTGGCATCCAGGGGCTGGGGGAGGGGGAGAACGGGCAGTGAATGCTAATGGCCATGGACTTTCTTTAGGGGTGTTGAAAATGTTCCAAATGAGGCTGTGATGATGGCTGCACAGCTCTGTGAATACACTAAAAACCACCAACTGTATACATTCAATGGGTGAATTCTAGGCTATGTAAAATGTATCTGAATATAGTTTTAAAAATTAAAATTTTCATTAAAAATATAAATTTTTATAAACAAAAAAATTTCTTAAATGTAAAAATTTTACTGTAAAAAAACAAATTTAAAAATTTTTGGTAAATAATTAATTCCCTTTTCCCCTTTCCTTCCAAAGACTGTTTCTCTCTCTTGTTATCATGATCATTTTATTTTGTTTGTTTGGGGGTTTTTTTTGGTTTTTCTTTTTTTTTTTGGTACAAAATCAGAAGCAAAGGAGAGCATTTAACCAAACACCATGAAAACAATGAGAAGCAGCAATAGCAATGAAGATGAAAGCCAAACCCTTCCAACTGAGCTGTTGTTTCCCAACTGAATCCTGCTGATAGGTGGCATATGTCTTCGTGGCTCAGGGCTTTGCACACGTTGTCCTCAGAGCACAGACAGCCCCCCTCATCTGCTTCTCCAGAGCATGTCACCCACCTTTCCACCACTGTGTTTCACAGGTTATCACAGAAGCAATGACTACTGAAGGTTGCTGTCACAGACTGGCTAATTTTAATAGACTAGGTGAAAAGTGCTTTGTCAAACTCCACACTTGCTGCACTGGTTTCTGCTTTACTTAGAAAAAAAAAACTGAAAGAACATCCAAGTCTTTCTAAAAATCGATCCAGTTCTTACCAGGTGACTTTCTACAGTACATTTTACGTTCACTGTTTCCTTTCCAACCATCTTTAAAGAATTACCAGGGTAGAGAAGAACTGTGACTCAAAACACGTCCCTTCACCACGCTGAGTCTACACCTCCTTACCTGTAAATGGAGGGGGCAACCCTGAATTAGCTCTAAGAATATTCAGTCTCAACTGGGTCAGTCCCTATCTAAGAATCACGGAAACAGAACTGAACGCAGAATCGATGTTTCAGGGAACTTTAGTAAGACCTTCATTTCTTGATATTTTAACAATTTCTCTCAGTAGTAAAACAATTTAAAAACTAAGACCCAGTCCCTCAGCAAAGCTTATGAGTAATTGTGGGAGGCAAGCAAGGTGCAAAGAAAGGAAATGAGCATCCTATTGATTCTCTTACACCCAGCTCTGCGGGTTTCATGGAAATACCCTAGAATTATCTGTGTATCACATCACTATGGGCAGATTAACAATATAGCCAACTGACAGGCCACATGATGAATCCTATCCTAGCTGAGAATAAAATATTATTTCGGAAATTTCTGCACAGCAGGAACTGATTTGGGGGGAATGGGGTAAAAAGTATGTACACCACAGCTCTTATCTAACCCAGCAGACACTCACCCCTAAACTGTCGGCCTTTCAGAAGGCAGGTGAGAACCTCTCTCATTTCTTCATCGGCCAAGAAACTCTACACTAAAGCAATTCCTGTTCAGTGCTGATTTCTCTAGGCGCTAACTATGGCAGCCACAGAGCACTCCTACACAGCCACACGTCATCTGCACGGGCCAGGATCAGCCCTGGCCAGGACTGGGCGTCGCCAGGGAGAGATGGGCCCTTGACCTCTGTGTGTACAGCAGGGGGAGTCCTGGTGACCTGCTCAGTAGAGACTCTGAATGGGGCCACAGGAACAAGAGTAATTGAGATGGAACTGGCAACAATGGACGGCACACGAAACCCATAAACCCGTGAATGCTGCCAAAATCAAGTAACCCAGCCCCACGCTCTGGAAGGGCAGAAGCCAACCCCAAGAAAGGGATGATGTTTATGAAAACTCCCTGTGATTACAGAAAGCACAACAGCAGTAAGAAGCTGAGAACCTCGGAAGCAGATCCAAACAGAGAGCCCATCCTTTGTTCTGGTAACCTCCCAAAACAGCCTTAAAACCTCCAATCAAACTGTTTCCCACTGGCTTGTTCACAAGATATATTCATAAGAATACAAGTAATCACTGAGTATCAGTGAATTACCTGACATTTCCTTCATGCCCAGCTTGAGCTATAAAGAACATAAAAACACTAGGGGCTGCATTTATACATAACTGTTGTGCCACCTGATATCATGAAGTTAAAGTAGGCCAGATGAATAGGCAGGACTTACCAATTTTCTGATTGAAAATCTTGTCAAAGGTTATTTCATTTCTCTCCTCGAGATACTTCTGCATCACACTCCGGATACTAAAAGAGAAGAGGGATACGTTTTTAACAATTACAGCCTGTGTCAGGAGAACCATCCCTATGAAGGAAAATATGTGGATGTCTTAACTCAAGAGTATTATAATAGTTTGACAAAAGACCCTCTTACTGACGTCCATGGCTGCACGAATGGCAGCTCAACTTTAAGATGGGACCATCCCAGCTCCAGCCATTATTCTCTCCTGAGACCAAGGGCCAACCTTACATGTAGAGATTCATCTACAAAAAATGACTTAAAGATCTGGGGAAAGTACACCCTTAATACCACCACTTTCTGAAATATGCACAAGCATGCATGCACACACATGACAAGTTCTCACTGATTAAGGAGCTTCTTTCTAAAACAAAAGCTAAAGTTCCCTGGATATATGATTAATATTTTAACACACCAGATTTCTGCACATCAACAATAAACTACAAGAAAACGTAATTAGAAGGAAGATTTCACTTACGAAAAAATAAGAAACATCAAGTGGACTGAAATAAATCTTTCAAAATTATGTGCAGGAATTTCATAGGGAAAATTATAAACTGTACTGAGAGACATTAAAGATTTTAATAAGTGGAAAGATACACCACAGTTATGAATAGAAAGATTTAATATTGCAAAAATTCAAAGTCTATCTGAATTTAGCTATAAAATCAATACAACTGCTACCAATATTCCAACAGGGTTTTTTCATGGAACATACAAACAGAGGAGCTCTTTATAAAATGTGTACAAAAGAACACAGGCTCAAGAAGCGCCAAAACATTTCTGAAGAAAGAGAATAATGATAACAGGACTTATTACAAGGTTAAAATAATTAAGGCAGGATAAACATTGATCAATGAAATGGAATAGCGAGCACATAAGCTGGCCCACACATACATGGAACTTTGGTATATAACAGAAGTAGCTAGGCAGAAAAATCAGGCAAGGAGGGGGGCTGTTCAGTAAGTGAACCCCAAAAATGATTATCCAAATGGAAAAAGTAGAAATTGAATCTCTGTCATCCATGGATAAGCAACAAGTTAGCATTACCCTTTTTTTAAAAAAAAGAAAAACTTTTTAAAACCAACTAATTGAGGTATAATTTATATACAATTAAATACATATTTAAGTGTATTGTTAAGTGAGTTTTTCACATATAACCACTACCATAGTCAAGATATCGAATATTTCTATCACCCCAAAAACTGCCCCCTTGCAATTCATTTCCCCATGTTCTAGGTTCCAGCCAATTATTATTGATCTCCTTTCTCTTAATACAGATTGCTTGCTCCAGTTCTAGAACTTTATATAAATAAAATCATACGTTGTCTTGTGTGTCTGGCTCCTTTCACTCGGTATAAGCAAGCTTCATCCATATCGCTGTGTGAATAAGTGCTCCGCTCTTTTTCACTGCCAAGCAGTATGTCACTGGATTCCACCATTTGTTTATGGATAATTCATCTGTTGACAGACATATGGGTTGTTTCCAGTTTGGGGCTATTATGAACAAAGCCACTTTAAATATTTGTGTAAGTCTTTTTATGGGCACGTGTTGTCATCTTTCATGGGTAAATATCTAAAAGTGAAAGTGTTGGCCATATGGTAAATTCTATTTAACACCATGAAAACGTGCTGAGCTAGATTCCAAGCTGGTTGTAGAGCGTTACATTCCCACCACCAATGGCTGGGGTTACGGTTGCTCCACATCCCGTGCTAAGACTTCGGTTGTCAGACTTTCGAGTTTCAGCCACTCTGTTGGGTAGACAGTGGCACCTTATGTGGATTTGCATTTGAATTTGCATTTCCCTAGTGAATAATGACGTTAAGCATGTTTGGACATGACTATTGGAATGTTTACTTTTTCTTTTGTGACGTGTGCCGTGAAGTCTTTGGCCTTTCAATGGAGTTGTCTTATTACTCAGGTGTAAAATTTCTTTCCGTAGCCTGGAAACAAGTTCTATGTCAGAATATGTGATAAACATATTTTCTCTCAGTCTGCACTGTGTGTCTTCATTCTCTAAATGGAGTTCTTCTAAGAGCAGAAGTATTTAGCTGATGAGTTCTGGATGATTTCTTTTCCTGGTGAACAGCCTGTGGGTAAGAAACCTTTCACATCCCAAGGTCATGAAGATTTTAACCTATGTTTTCCTCTAGAAATTTTAAAGTTTTAGCCTTTGTGTTAAGGTCTAAGACCCATTTCAGGTTAATTTTTGTGCATGATGCAAGGTAAGATCGAGATTCTTTTTTTCCTTGTAATACCTAATTGATCCAGCATCATTTGTTGAAAAAAACTATCCTTTCTCCATTGAATTATCTTGACATCTTGTGGATTCAACACAATACATGTGTAGGTCACACTGCATTGATCTATATGTCTGTCCTTACATAAATACTACATTGTCTTGATGGCTATAGGTTTAGAGTAAGTCTTGACATCAGGTGACGTAAGTCTTCCAACTTTGTGTTAATTCTTTTGTGTTGTTTTCATGGCTATCCTTAGGTTCTGTACATCTCCATGCTAAGGATTTTTTTTTTATAAAGCACCTTTTATGTCCTAGGCAACATAATGCACATTTTATATACACTTGTGTGTATATATTTTTTTCTCATTAAATTCTCATAATAGCCCATTCTATAGGTGTTATTTTCATTTTGCAGGTAAAAAATGGACACCAAAGGATTCTGAGTGAATGAGGGAGGGATGGAATTGACCAATATATTGTTGTAATTATTTTTTTAGTTACAGTTGACATTCAATATTACTTTATATTAATTTCATGTGTACAGCACAGTGGTTAAATATTTACATGATTTATGCAGCGATCCCCCAGATTAGTCTAGTACCAACTTGGCATTATACACAGTTGTTGCAACATTATTGCTTACGGTTTATTCTCCATCCTGTACTTTACATCCCTGTGACTATTTTGTAATTGTCAATTTGTACTTCTTAATCCCTTCACTTTTTTCACCCAGCTACCCAGCCCCTCTCCCCTCTGGCAACCATCAGTTTGTTCTCTGTATCTATGAGTCTGTTTCTGTTTTGTTTATTCATTCCATGTAAGTTTTTTAAATCAACATGGAAATTTCTTCCCAGGAAAAGCCTGCTGGGGTTTTAACTGGGACTGTGTTGAACCTGTAAATTACTTTTGGGGAAATTAACCTCTTAATAATATCAAGTATACAATCCATAAATATGACATATTTCTCCATTTATCTAGGTCTTCTTTAGTTTCTTATCAATATTTTATAGCTTTCAGTATAAAAGCCTTGTCTTTTTCTTACAATAGTTTTCTCTGGTTTTGGTATCAAGATAATATGGTTCATAAAATGAGATGGAAATTATTCCTTTCTTCTTCCTTTATTTTATAAAGCGTTGGTGTAAGATAGTATTAATTCTCCCTTAAATGTTTGATAGGACTCATCAGTGAAGCCATCTGAGCCTAGAATTTTCTGTGTGGGAAGGTTTTAAATTACAAATTCCATTTCTTTCACAGATATTAGGGCTATTCATATTTTCTATTTCTTCTTGTATTAGTTTTGATAACTGTGTCTTTTAAGGAATTTTTCAATTTCTTCTAAGTTACTGAATGGATCTCAAAATAATTATTCTGAGTAAAAGAAGCCAGATCAAAAGGAGAAGGGGGTGAGGGAGAGAGGTTATCACTTTGTGAGGAGTGTAAATGTCTAACTATTACGTTGTTTTGTACACCTGAAACTAATAAAAAAAGAAGAAGAAGAAGAAGGGGGTAGGGGGAAACATAACGTTTGCTTATAAAGAGGCAGGAGCAAACTTTGGGGGGATGATGTATGTGGTAAAATGAAAAATATCTATATTTGGTTTTTCCCTGGTTCTTGGCACAGAGCTCCTAAAACCCTTGGAATTTCATGAGTAATAGGAGTGTCTTATTCACAAGAAGCCCTTTTCATCCATACCTGAGTTTATGCGAATGAGGTGACTCTGGGGCCTCTAAACAGCTTCGAGGAACCAACCGTGTTGAGGGCTGGAACTTTCAGCCCCACCACTTGACTTCTGGGAGGCTAAAGATTGAGTTCAGTGACCAGTAGTCAGTGATTCACCCAATCATGCCTACAAAATGAAACTTCGATAAAAATTCTAGAATGATGATGTAGAGAGCTCCCACGTTGGTGAACCCCTCCATGTGCGGGAAAAGGGGTGCTCCTGGATAGGGCATGGCAGCCCTGTGCTCCCTTCCCGCAGACCTGGCCCTATGTAACAACCATGTTCACGTTCCTGAGCTGTGTCCTTTACAATAAAATGAATAAGCATAGCACTGTCTTGAGTTCTATGAGTTGTTCTCGTGAAATATCAAACCTAAGGGGAAGGTTCATGGGAACCCCCAAATCTGTAGTCAGCGAGGCAGAAATGCAGGTAGACTGAGGAGCCCGTTTGCAGCTGGCATCTGAAGTGGAACAATCTTATTGGGCTGAGTCCCCAACCTGGCGGGGAAGGAATGGGGGCGTCTGTGTCGACCCTGGGTTGTTAGCATCAGAAATGGATTGAATTGTAGGACACACAATGAATGTCAGAGAACTGAAAATTGTTGGAAAAGGACATAATGTATATGTTTAGTATCTTAATTTTGATTATGGTTTCACAGGTGTAGATAAAACTTACCAAATTGTATACCTGAAATACGTAGTTTATTTTATGTTAATTATACCTCTATAAAGCTGCTTTTAAAAAAAAAATTATACCACAAGGATGCAATCACCAAAAATCCTGGATGTGGGCAACTACACAACAAATGACCTGGTTTCTTTAACAAAAAATTTCAAGAGGGAAAATGATGGATGGGATCCCATAGTTCAAAAAAGACTTAAAGGTAGTAACAATCAAGCATAATATATGGACCATCTTTAAAACTTAATTCAAGTAAAAAAAAAAATCTAATAAAAATGGAAGAAATGTGAATTCAGATTGAATATTTTATGATATTAAAGTATTACTTTTTTAGCAGTAGCAATGTATTATGCTTATGTTCTG